ATTTGTTCTGATTCTCTTATTCCATCATTTGAGGTATAGTTTTTGCCTGTTCCTCATCAACCTTAAGTAGTTCTTTGGGCTACTGTAATGTTGTACAAAATGTGTTCCTTGCTAAAATAAGTCACTTTATCATGCTAAACTTGCCTTCTTAGCAGATACCAGAGAAGAGCACCAGAGTGGATGCACAGGAGGACAGCGCTTCTGCTCCCCATGGGTTACTGTTACTTAGTTGCAGTACTGGAAAGAGGGGAGCTCTGATGGTCTCTGGCCTACAGCCTAATGAAAGGTAACGCTTGTGAGTGGGAGACAAAYGTGGCAAATGATTCTCTACACTTCCACAGAAAAGGGAGTATGAAGTGCTATTGGAGCTCCTAAACTAGCAGACCTTCTTTACAGCACTGCACACTGTAGCTAATACGGTGACTACGGAAGCAGTGAGCTCTTCCAAGTGAACTATCGYTGCATGTATTGGCCCTAGGCTTAGTGAGGTTTAGTTTAGTTTTTGTAAGGATTTAGAAGTACAGATTCACTTGCTCATCAGCAGGGAGGTTATGAAAAAGTTTTCATGAAAAAAATGAAAAACAGATGTGAAGCAATTCCAGTACCTTGTTATGGTGTTAGGGCTACAAATAGACATCAGGAGGGGATTGAGCAGGACAAGACTTCAGTCTCTGCCCATTTGAGCAAAACACTTGGGAAACATTTTTTTTCTTTCTACATTCCAGTCCTTCCACCTTGTATCCCCATGGGTGTACATGGCTGTAATCCAGAAAAGACATCTGTAAGGAAAATACTGTGAGAGACCAAGAAAGCTTTAGGGGTATACATTCTCCTTCTGCACAATATAAGTTTTTCTCTCAATGTCAAAGTGAACTGGCAATGCAGAAAGTGGTGACCTAGAACAGATTTTGGATTAAGTAGTGCAATCTCCGCTGTTGCTTTTATAGTATGCTCACGACAAGTCTTAAAAAACTAGAAGTTATTTTATTTTAGTTGAGTAAGCACTTAAGACATAAAGTAGTAATGCAATTAGAGAGATGTGGAGCAGCTTTAATGCTAGATGTTAATAAATGTATGTTGGCTTAATGGATATTTCAATATTTGTTTATATCAACACAGTTTTGGAAATCAGCACCTCCAAAGGCCTACTGGATCAAAATCACACTAAGATATCAAATATATTTTACAAAGAAATAACAGGTAAAGATAGAAGTCATTACTTAACTGGTCCAGGCTCTACATACGCATGAGAAACATATCCAAATAAAAACAGGGAGGTAAAACATTTAAGTGGCTAGAGAAATTCAGAGAAGTCAAGTCCGTATCTCTACATGTCTATTTTATTTGTAGAATTTGAACATCTTTGTCGTTGATGTTGTTTCCAAGCAGTGCTTTACATGGTCTCCATATGTGATAAGGAAATATGATAACCCATGACAAGGCAGGCACTTCCAGTAGAAGAGGTGAATGCCTCGGGTGTGTTGTGATACGTGAAACTCAACTTTCAGTGTATCTATATTTAATCTGTACGTTTCTGAACATATAAAACCTCTAAAAGATTTTGGGTCAGAACCAAAGTATTGAGATTCACAAAATTAACAACTTAAGTAATCAAAGAAACAGATGTTTCTTAATAAAATATGTACTTGGATATTCTAAAAGCAAGCATATTTGCTTTGCCTTTATGTTTCTTACACTTGTGATGTGGCTGTAATTAAATACCAAGTTCTGTATATCTTGAAGAGCTGCCGGAGAATTAGAGACTAATCTGCAACTCAAAAGTTGTCACAGTTCCTCTGAAGTCAATGGCGTTTTGAGAATTTACACCAGCTGAGGGACTGCTGTGTGTATTTAATAAAAGACATTCTGTTTAATTATATTTTAAGTTCATAAAAAGTCGCTGCAAATGAAGGAAAAAACAACCCTTTGAGTAATTGTCATTTTTTTTTCTTCTTTTAAGTCCATTATGAACTTCAATGTCAAAAGCCATCTTCCTTTCTTTAAAAACTGTAAGGATGTCTTTATAGACATGTATTGCAATCAGCTTCATTTTCAAAGAAGGACTTTWGTGTGTGAGGTAAATCTTGAAATGAAAAGTAGAGAGTGCCTATTAAAATATCATCAGAGCACTGCAATAGCAGGTGAGGAAACTGGGGGCAGTCTGAGGAAAGAAAAGCCTTTTGTAGCAACAGTCCAAATATCTGGCTGCAAGTTCTCAAGCAGTCACAGAAGAGTAGACCAGGGAGACAGAACAACTAAACAGGTATAAAACCAAAAAGGCATGCTCCTAAAAAGTAAAAGAGATTTGGGATAAATAGCTCTATATTTTATCTATGATTTTTGAAATACTGAAACAAGAGGGCTAGCCAGATGTGATTGCTTACCTACACAAAGAAGAATCACAATCTGACCTTAATTTCTATTTTTCAACAGCTAATTCAAGGTCTGTGCTGCAGGTAAGATACAGAAAAAKCCACTGTTTCCTGTAGGAAACTGAAATGCAGTACAATTTCAATGCAAGCATGGTATTTCGTCAATACAGTAATTCCTTATTAGGATTTTTCCTCACTTTAATTTTTCTCACCATCCATATTTCACTACAGTTTCTTGCTGTCCCATTATTTCCTTTCTTGGGGGCTTTTCCCTAAAACAGAACATGAAAATAGTATCATGATTAGAAGGACATTCTAGGTAACAGCATTTGAATGCATTTGTATCCAAGCAGAAACTGTTTACCTCTCACTACTACCCAAAGGAATAAGAAGTGAAAATTCAAATTGTAATTGGGCATTTTCCAAAAGGCCAGTGTGCTCTTTATCTTGCATAAAAAAAAAAAAAAAGTGATTCTGCCAACTTATTTCTGTACATTTCTAACATGAGCAGATTCTATGAGGAAGCTGTACTAAATTGCTCAATATTTCACTTAAAATGAAGCGCTGACAAAGCAAATGGATAGAGGCGGCGCAAATGAACAACCCTGCTTCTCCATACTGGGTTCTTCTAGTGTGACATACCATTAAACCACAGAGTTGAGTTCAAAGAGACTTCAGCATCTAAATTAAAACCCCCTTTCCGCGGTGTGCACCACCGCTTGGCTGCGGGCCCAGGCTGGGAACATGTGCACGAGCAGGCGCCGCCGACGGGCCGCCGCACCGCGGGCGCAGAGCGCGGATCCCACCACATCTGGCAGCAGCAGAGACGTCCCACTGCACATCTGCAGCGGGCAGGCCAGCCCTGCCGCTCACAGCAGCTCTCCAAACACCTCCGCTAAGAGCAGACGGGAGGCAAGCACGGGAAGAGAGAATGAGAATGACTGGGCTTTATCTTTCCATGCAACAGGGGCAGCCAGATTAGCAGTAGGAAGCAGGGTGGCTATTTTTTTTTTTTCTTTTATTTTTAGATGCATTGCACTGGGATTCTTCCTCTTCTTGGCAAGAGATTCTTTAATGTGATTTGGTGATTTTAATTCACAGCCGACTCACATTTGAGCATTCACGTAGAACGCAAAGGGGCACTTGCCTGCCACTAAATTCCAGGRGGAATTCAACATCTAAGCTTCTCAGAAGGTTTTGGAAAACAAAACCTGACTCCAGAGACARCCATAGGTGTAAAGCAGTTTTAAAAGACCCCAATGAATGCTTTGTAATTAAAAGTTACAAGAAATTAATCAGAYGTATATTGAATTTTAATTACCTCTTCATTTGAGTTAGCCATAAGAAATAAATTAGCCCCCCCTTAGGAACACCTACTACCTTTGAAACTTTGATATTCACACAGAGCAAATAGCTCTTCCTTTAGAAGGTCCCAGCTGAAGGATGTACATTGTAACCTGCACAGAATACCATTTATTTACTGTACTTTGGAAACACGAAAGGTTGACTTGACCCTCMTGTGATTCAAATCTGAGATTACTGCATCATTCATCATCTCAGAATGGGCCTGTTCCAGTCTCCTTGAACAAAACTGTTTTCTCCTCACATTTTCTGCACAGAATTGGCACAATTTCAATTCCGAGGTGCATTGTATGAAGCATAGTTTTGTAGTGAAAGGTGTCAAGATGGCAAAAATTGAAAATTAGATTGGTACAAAATCTAATTTTTAATATATTAAGTGTTTAGCTTTTCCCTTGTAATATAATTTAACCTTAGCAAGTTGCATAACAGTCATGTTCTTTGGGTATGGACATAGTTTTCTTCACTAGCTGGATGAGAAACAATCTTTAATAAGAATTTATGCTATGAATATATAAATTTTTGTGACAGGCTGCAGGCAAACAGCTTTCCCCTCCAAGTGCACCATGTTTGTGAATATGTAACCCACGGTCCTACTGGCGAGACTGCTTGTAACCAGCGTGCRGGGTGACCTCTGTGCGAGCCTGGTCGTGCTACTCCGTTGCATTCACTGCAAGCCTTTGCTGGGCTGGGTGGTCCTAGCCCTGAGCCAACGAGAGCATGACCTGGAAGTCTTGCAGCACTGCGATTTTTCCTGGTTTTCCTACAGCATGGGGGAGGACAGGAGCAGAGGGCTGGAGGAACTCCACCTTCCCCCCTTTTCCTATGGCACTCCCCTTCCAAAAAAATAAAAGAAAATAAAAGAAGCCCCTTTCAACTTGGCCTTCCCCCCACTCCAAGCTTTAAGCTGCAGCTCCAGGTGTGGAAGGGGACGCTGGAGGTGGCGTTTTGGTGGATGCAGGCGGCTGCAGGGGAGGAGGCTGTTTGGGCTGCAGGGTGCCAGCTCCTGCCCGCGCTGCCAGGGCGCCTCATCCATCAGTGCCGGGCACGCGCCGGATCAGCCTCGGGATGGAGCATCCCCCTGCCGGAATGACATCAGAGCCGCTCCGAGCCCTCCGAAGGCTCCGGCTCGATTAGCTGGAGGAACGGGCTGCTGCTGCCAATCATATTCCTGCAAAGCCGCCTCGATACTCGTGTAGATAGGAGGGAGCGCGAGCCCGGCTGCAGCCAAGGGGGAGCCACGGCGGCAGCAGCACCAGCAGCAGTAACAGGAGCGGCTGCTAYTGGGGTGATTAAATAGTTCTCGCAGCCTTTCTGCCACACTTGGACTGCTCCCTGGGGTGATGCTCGTGTCCGAGGAGGAAGCTGCATTTCGCCAGCAAGCCGAGCAGAGCTTTGAATCATTCCAGCTGCCTGCTTGTTTTGAAAAGGACAGTCTGGGTATAAATAAAATGTGACTGTGCTGGTAGAGTTCAGTTACTGGGGGCTGGCGCAAGAGGAGCCTTCCTGGGATACTGTTCAGACAGCTGATGTGGACTGAAAACTCTCTGTAGTTTGCCTGGAGCCATGCGAAGAGATTTGAATAGCAGATGCCTCTTTCCTGCACACTAAGAAAAGAAATTCTTCGCTAGGTAAGCTCTTGTTTGGCTTCTGCACGTATTGCTACCCGAGTCTGTAYTTCTGGGTGTACGTTCATACTACTGCCTCAGACAATACATGCACTCACATAGGAGAAAGCAAATCTTGAACAGGTATAAGGTACACTGTGCAAAATATATGCCTGGAACTTTATGATTATATATACACACACACACACACTTACATATACCAATTACTTCATAAAATTGCCTTAAGTCTGGAACTGAAAGGATTGTTTTAAACTTTGAGATCATCTTTACCATGCTTAAGTGTCCTAAATTGAAAGGATGCATGTGATCTGAGGGGAAACAGATGTCTGAGTACATACGTAAAAGACTACAGAAGTTAGAAGTTAGGTGAGGGAAAAATAAAAAAGAATTACAATTGTTCTTTAATATATTCCACATACTTAGCTTATTTGCTAGTCAAAGTTAAGCAAAATGAGCACACTAAAGTGACAATGTGGAAGCTTCCCATGGATGAAACTAAAAGTAGAAATAACTATGCTGTAAGTAAACCAAGATCTGCAAATCTGTTCTTTTCCAGTGGTTTACTATCCAAACAGCATCTGTCAGCAATATTTAAAACATGATTATTCACAGTGTGGAAGCAGTGGTTGTTTTAGGTAGAGAGAAACTAAAGGAATCAGTATTTGTTCWTAAGATTATTAGAGACAGAGCACAGCATTTGTCACACAGCCAGCACACCAAGTCATTGCTGCTGAGAACAAACACTGAAAGGAGAACTGAGAGGTGAATAAGGTTCTTCCTACAAGCACCACACATGCTCGCAAAAGCCATGCATTTTTAATTCTTTATTCCCCAAGGAACTTAAGATGATAGTTTTAATCAACTTGGGCACCTCTCAACAACACTAGAAAGACCCTTCCTCCTCATAAATCTATGTGCCAGAATTTGGCATATCAAGTATCACTTGTTGTTATGCCCTTTCTACACTGGATATTATCAGAGCAAAAGATAATGATAGAAATAACAAGTAATTTTCACCCATTTTTTTTCCAGGGCTTTTTAGTAACGATCTTCCTCTTACTATAAGATATTCAACTTTGGGGAAAAATAATCAGAGCTTCCTTATTTACAAAGTTTAAGTAGTTGTTAAATGTTGCCAGTACTTCTCTTGCYCAGTAATGTCTGTACATGAGCACATATTACCATCAGCCTAGCAGCACTGTGACTTGCTTTCCTAAATGCTCCTCTAAAGGGGAGGAGGAAGAGAGAGACTTAGCTAAATTGCATTTAACTTTCCAGTTTGCTCCTGAACATTGTCAATTCAAATATGATCCACTTAGTTAAATTGGAAGCTCCTAATGTCTTTGCTTTTCCTAATGGTCCTGCTCCTAATGCAGAACTTGAAGACTGTGTATTAATTTTGTGTCTTTTTTTATTTTTACAATCATGGCCATTTTTGATTCCTAATGAATGACTAATGTCCGAAAGCCTCAGAAATCAAAGCAGCAGTGTTCTGGATATCATGCTCCCAGCACTGCTTCCTCTAAGGCATAAAGAGGTGCCCCTTTCTATACCTCTCATCTTAGTGGAGTAAGCCAAACCAGAGCATCAGATATAGGCAGAGTTAGAGACTGACCAACCACATATATGATATATATATATATATTGACTTGTATTTGTGCCCCAACACACGSTTAACTTGTGTCATAAAGTTCTGAAGCCCCTATTAAAACTTTAAGTGAAGTTTGGATGCCCACTGTCCTGCTTTTTGTAAGGGCACTGATCAAACATTTTTGGGTTGGTAGCATGCAGGGTTATCATGAGCTTCTCTAGGCTTCAGCTGAMACTCAATATGACAGAGACAAATTATAAAAGGTCCTGCTCTACCCTCCTTTTTGAATCATTGTACAAATTCCCTCAGAGATATWAWGAGATCCCTTAAGGATAGAAAAYTATACTTTTCAAAGTGAATGCTGATGAGTTACTAGCAAGTCACAACTTACTTCCAGAGCTAGATACTCAATTGCACGGTCAATGTGTAACCTTACACYACCAGGAAAAGTCTCACTTCTTTTTCCTAGGAGCAATAAAGAAAATTTACCATGATCTCATAATCAGAAAGCGGAAATCAGTTTTGCTCTACACCTTTCCAGTTTAGCCCACAATTTAGTTTTCATTTGCCTGCCTCTGCCCACAAGGCTGTCTGCCTTCAGCTGCAATGGGTACGCTGATTGCATGCTTCCATCAGGCATCTGATCCAAGCTTTCACAAGGCTTCAGCTTCCTAGGCACATACAAGAAACTCCTTTCCACACCTGCAAAATGGACCTGTCTGAGCAAAAGAAACCCTGGGCTGAAACAGCTAAACATTTCAGCCTGGGTCTGGGTGAGTGAAGGGAAGGGCAGCTCAGAATAGCTGCGATTTCCCCGAGCTGTGGAGCCCTTTAAAGCACCAGGCACTGAGCTAAAGAGCTCTCTGTACCTCCTAAAATGAGGAGGGCCTGGTTTAAAAACAGTTTGCGAGGATTAAAGAGCACAGTTTAGCACGGCAGCTTAACAGCTGCCTTATTACCAAAGCTGGGAGGCAGCTGTGGGACACTGAAGCAGAGAGGCAGCAGAACAGCACCCGGCTCTCCGCAGGGGCTGAGAGGCTGGGCTGCAGGACAAGGAGGATGGTCCCTGGGCTGGAGCTCATTTGAAGCGTTTTGTTGGGGAGTCCTGTCTTGCCTTCTGGAAAAAGACTGAAGAATGCTCGTACTGCAGCTACAAGTTTACTTTTCCTAGGGAGATGTTGAAGTCATGCCTCTCATGAAGGGAAAACCACCCTGAAGGATGCTATGCATAAATACAGAAATTTTCACTTATGTCAGCATTTGTTTAAACTACTAAAAAACTGCAGGAAGAGAATGAAAACCATGCACATCACTCCAAAGCATTTATTATAACTAYAGTCAGTAATAGAAATTATAATGATATTGCAGACTCTTCCCAAATTAACAGTTGCTATAGAAAATGAATAATATTTCATCTAAACAGTAATGCTACCAGAATCACATGGCAACGGCACAACACTGTAGAAACCATGTCAGGGTTTGATGAAGAAAACTTACTGGCAGTAGAAGTCATGTATTACAATGAGATGATTTAAATGCAATTTTCAAAGGAGCAGAGAAGTATTTAAACCCATTTCCTCCCCTGTGGCTACAGGAAGGGTCACAACTGCCTTCTAAGTGAAGGCAAATGGAGCAATTTAATTTCTACTCCCATGCTGCAAAGGCTTTGGGAAGCTARGGCAAAGGCGAATGGAGTCAGAGCAGGGTGGTCTGTTTGTTTCTTGTTTGTTTGGATGGTTAGATGAGGTTTCTGTTGTTGTTGATTTTTTTTTCCTTTCTATCTTTTAAATGAAAAAGCAGCAACTAGCAAGGCATTGCGTTTTTCTTTCTTAGAGGTTGGCTGAAATAAAACCTATATTTGGCTTGCTTAAGGAAAACCTGCTGAATTTATATTTTGCTTTTTATTAGCTAGGAAAGTTATGTTCTCTGCTTCTTCACATGACATAGAATTTACCATGCCAATTTCTTTCCTCCTCTATTTAGCCCTCAAACATGATAAAACAAAATATTCTGTAGCGCAGCTCCAGCGCAGTATGATGTATATAGCAATATAAAATTTGTACACACATAGATGCTGATATGTTTGTCCCAGAGTAGAGTATAAATGAATTTGCAAGGTCCGCTTTGCTGCATACAAGTTGCTGTTGCAGAATTTTAGTTAGGACAAACTTGCAACGTCATAATTAGGTGCTCGTCAGCCACAAGGTAAAAGGAATATTTACCATCCTGCCACAGCCCACAGGCTGATGCACCTGTATGGCAATGAAACTTTACTTATCCCTGAATTTTAGTCTACTATACAGATACAGCAGACAATAAAAATCAAATTCTTTCCAGAACAAAGCTGCATRTGAAACAGTCTTCTGAAAGGCTGTGCACAGCTTCTTACTGCAACCTGTGCTCTGCCAGACTTCCACTGAAATGATTGCATTTAGCTTTCAGTGTATAAATAAATGTTCTGCTAAATAATTAATATCAGCTGCTGGCCATAAAGGAGGTGACTATTTGGAAAGTTAAAACTGTCTATCATGAAATATGCACCCACATTTATGCTCTACTTTCAGGGGATGTTTTTTGCACCATCCTTTCCCCTTACCTGGCAGCAGTATTTTGTGGGGAGGAGGCCAAGGCTTTCAACCCAGGGCTCCAGGGCCTCAGGGTATCCTTTGAATTTATTCTCTCCCCCTGCGATGTTCACTATCCCTTAAACACTAGGTGGTCAGTGTTTTACAGCAAAATTTTGAGATGAAAGAGGAAATTGCAGTGATGTCTATGCTACTAGGAGAGATACAGAAGTTGCACTTACTGGTCATTTTCAATTTTAAAGCTCTCAAAGCATTTTTTTTTATTTCAACAGAAGTAGGGCCATCTGCCGCGGTACTTTTGCCAAATTACCTGCATTCTTCCTATCTAAAGTGCAGACATAATAAGTTAGCACATTAGTAGTCACTGGCCRCTTGGTTGTGCCTTTTCAGTGGCTTCACACTTCCAACCCAATAAAATTTTGCAGTAATGATGGAACCACATGCACATAAAGTATTTGCAATTTCTTAGTGTGCCAGACACTGAAACAGGACTGTAACTTCTCCCCCTCAGCATCTGAGGATTTATTTTTGTTGTGAACTGATAGAGCAGCCTTACAGCACCTTAAGGTCCAGCTTACTGGTAGCTTAAAGACATTAATTTGGGAACTTCACATGCCTACACAACATCAGCTGAATCTTATTCCCACCACACRTTCTTGTTCCCAAGTCATTCATGGGGGTACATTCTGTACCCMATTCTGTACATACAGAAGTCACCAYCAGAAGTCAGGACACCTCCGGGGTATGCACTGTCTAAGCTAGAAGAACTGCAAGCAGTGCCCACCTCAAAATATCGTGTCCAGGCACACTCTCTTCACTCAGTTTGA